GCCTGGCTTCCTGACTGGCCAGCTGGCTGCATGCTCCCTCGTCACCAAGTGAGGAAGCGGAGGGGGGGGGGAGAGAGAGTAATTACCTGCCCCCCATCGGGAGCATTTAGGCGAGTGCTAGTATCGGTATATCCCTACTGATTGGTTGTCTATGAGACAATCATACCAATAATATGATATATATATATATATATACTGGCTTATGAGGAAGCTCCGAGGAAGGTGTGATTTCCACAAAACGCGTCAGCTCTGTTCCTATTTGTTGTTAGATATACCGCTTGCTTTCTACCACTTACATGTGAGTAGCTCTATATGCTCTGGTAATTGACTTCTAAATAACATTAATGCATGAAGAGAAGGCGCTCTTCTGTTTTGCATGTTTTCTAAGGATGTTTCCTAATAGCCTTGTGGACAGCAGCCTCTCCTGATGTGTCCTATTCAGACGATTTGTGGTGCCTAAGTCTGCTGAGTGCCGAGATTGAGACTTTGATTTTTTTTTTTATATCTGCTTCATAAAAAAAACCTTTTTCTGTTGCTGTGGCACCTAAACATCCCCATCCTGATATACTATATAACCTGCAGGTCAATAGCTTTAGTTTGCAGCTTGCTTTTTCATTCTTTTTAGCTGTCATGAGTACAACACAGCCTATAGTTTGTACAATATGAAATGGCTCTTTGCATTCAGCCAACTACTAAGCTGCATGAAATATATAATTATTTATTTTTCCTACCCAGAAATGCATATTCAGCATCTGAAGCCTTTTCTTTTGACAGACTGACCCTTGATATTGCCTTCTAATTGCATTTTCTATGTTGCCAGGCCAGGAGCAATACGAGCTAATTTAGTAGTTTGCTAGAATAAAAATAAACCATTTCATGTCACCGATATGGCCGGTGTCTCTGCCTTTAAGTGAAAAAGTTATTTCTAATTTTAAAATCATGTAGGATGTTATTTACGCACGTGTTACACATGTATATTTTGTTGATGGGAACATTTTATGATTTTTCTCATTCGGCTCAAGAAAGATCTTACAGTGTATGGCCAGCTTAAGGTTTAAATTATGCAGTTTAGATCGGGTGAGTAAACATGTACGTTGTGCAGTGACAAGCTATTTAAAATTATTGCTAAGATCTCCTTGTTAAAGGCTGCAATAATACAACTGATTACCCCATTAAAATAGTGAATGACACGAGGTACACAAGGATCTCAGCTAAAGCCAGGAAATCACGGCACTGAATCTAAGGCTTGCCATAGGTGCAAATCCTTTTAACAACATTATACCCTCTGCATATGCTAAGGATTTTAGTGCTGTTTAAAGGGAGACCTACCACCAACCTGGGGAAGAAGCAGACACTAAAGGATTAGCAGCACACTGAGGTCATCCCTTTGCTCACTCAGCTGTCTCCTCCTGCCAGCCTTGTCACCATATTTGCATGCAACCCACCAGAATAGCTTCCAGTCCAGCCCCTCTTTATTCCATTCTGAATGCTGCAGTATACGGGAATGCAAGAGGCTGTTACCATGTCAAATGCAGGTACTTAAAAACTAGTTGATTTTAAAGCAGAACTCCTGGCAAACAAAAAAACACTTACCCCTGCAGTGGGGCTACATGTTTTTACTTACCTGATCCTCTCCCCACCCCCCGGCCGCTAGAACCGCACCCACAGGTTCTTCTACCCTTCCCTGTGGCAGTCTAAGGAACGCTGAAGTCATGTTATCTTATGCAGGTCCATTGAGCTGCATTAGACATCCTTGAGGGACATTCCAACATCCGGGGCAGAGGGGAAGAGGTGAGTGCCGGTATGTAAAACAGCTTTATTTGCCTCCCCTAGAAAAAAATCATACTTAACCCTTACAGCGAGGGGGTTGCCCTACCACAAGACAGTTTTTTCTTTGCCCGGAAGTCTTCTTTAAAAAAAATACATTTTATTGAATGCAGAGTAGTGTTAGTTGTTCCTGAAGTTTAGGAAGCTTCACTATGTTTGTTTAATAACTGGTTAAAGGTTTTAGTGTATCTTCTGAAATACTCTGCTGTTTAAAGTGTTTCATCCAAAATACTAGTCATGTTTTGTGCAGAATCGACAGGGATTGATCCTTGAACATGTCTTTACAGCCCCCAGGGTCCTAAGCAGTAAAAATCACTGCCATGGATTTGCAGGGGATCTTAAAGTTAAATCTTAAAAATGCATACAAGTACCATAACTATTAACAAAAATGTATCTTATTTGTGTATCACTCAGCTGTAGACCATCAAATCATCTCTGAATTGGTGCTGACACTTGTCCTTCCTTCTGGAGGGTGGCTACTTTTGTTCTCCATGGTCCCTGTGTGTGTTGTAAAGTAGCCACCACTCCAAGCTCACTCCCAATCTCAATACAAATCAGTAAAAAAAAAAAGTGAGATTGTAGTCTATCACGGGAGTGAGCTTGGAGCAGTGGCTACTTTACAACACACACAGGGACCATGGGGAACAAAAGTAGCCCTCCTCCAGAAGTAAGGCTTGTGTCAGCACCAGTTCAGAGATGATTTTAGGATCTACAGCTGAGTGATGCACAAATAAGACACATTTTTGTTATTAGTTAGGGTACTTGAATGTGTTAAGCTTTAACTCAAGAGTTTAGTGTCACTTTAAGTGTTGGGTAAAGCTTAGGGGTTTAGGTTAATATTAGTGCTCAGAGAATATTTCTACTGCCCGGGTCTAATAGAGCTGTGAAATGTATAGCAGAGTCCTACAACCAAAACAGAATAATAATCTGAGTGGGGTCTGCTTTGACTCCATTTTGCTTGAATATAATTACAAAAGTAATAGGTGTTAATCTACATGGTAGATCACTGTGGCAGTCACAGATGTGAAAAGAAATGGAGATGCAGTAAGAAAGTGATGTGAAACTTGTGACTTGTTTTAGCAGCTTAATTTTCTCTGTTCCCTTTAACGCCTCAGAACATCAATGCAAATTACACCTTCCTCTTCAACAACTAATCCCCTAACAACGTCATACCATACCTAAGTAAAGAGGACAGGAATTACTTTCATAGTCCCAAACAAATACAGCATTAATAACTGGGGAGAAAAACAGCAAAACAGTATTGTAAATCTTCTCTACTTTCATCTACTAAATGACAAGAGGACTTTAAAATAGATTTCCACTTCTACAGCCAAAGAGGGATAATGCCTACCTATATTTGTTAAATTTTCTCATTTACATAGCATACTCCCCCACCCCCCCAAAAAAAATGTGCTCCGTACATACCAATTGTTTTCTCATATTACTGGTTTTCTCTAAATACTGAACTGTCCTATGGAGTGCAAATGAGGTGGGGAGGTTACCATAATTAACCCTGTCTGTATGGTGCTGGCAGATCTCATTATTAGTTGCAAACTGTTCTAACAAAGGGTTAAAGATGTAGAAGCATTGTAAGTTAGTGAAAGGTGTCCTTAGTCTTTCTAAGGGGGACAGCTACAGTGTCTTGTCATTTTTAAATTTTAGATTTAAGACTTGCCAGCTAAACAGAGACATCTAAAATGGTAACATTATTTTTATTATGCCGTGTTTATAGAACCATATTTATTTATTACAGGTACTTATATAGCGCCGAAAATGTACACAGTGCTTTACACAGTTGCAAATCCCCATCAGTCTCTGCCCTCAAGAAGCTTACAATATAAGGTCCATATATCATTTGTATACCTACAAGGGCCAATTTAGACAGAAGCCAATTAACCTACCAGCATGTCTTTGGAGTACGGGAGGAAACCGGAGTACCCTGAGGAAACCCACACAAGCACAAAGAACACATGCAAACTCCTTCCCGATAGTGACCTGGCCGGGATTCGAACCAGGTACTATACACACACACACATTTTTGTGTGGCAATCTTGCAGAGGTGCGTTCAATCTCATATATAGCAAGCATATTTAAATAAAGAAATGCCAGCTTCTTCTGTAACAGGTATCAGCTGTCTTGACAGGCCCTATTTAAGATTAATAAATCAGTTACCACATCCAGAAGGATGCACCATGATACCCCAAGTCTCCTCTCTATATAAAACATTTAACAAAGGCATGCTTTCTGAACAACTACAGCGCACTTATATGGAATAATATGATGAAAGCACAGTAGAATGCTAACCTTGACTATTGGTAAAGTCCCCACCATTACTGCAACTTTGGTTTGTTGCAGGCAGCTAAGCAAAGCCCAGAACAGCTAATAGGAAAGCACTGCATCCTTGAATCCCTGCAATTGGGAAAGCGTTAATAAGTAAGAAGAAAAAAAAAAAGCCTGCCATGATAATTAGATGACCCAAACGTGTTTCTAGGCAAGTCAAGCCAAATTAAAACTTTGTCTTGATTCATTGAAATACTGTGATTGAGAGCTCCAGCAGACAGAGGAATACAGGGACGTTTTCTGACCACTACAAATTGGCAGAAGGTAGACATGAGGCATAAAATGGTAAAGTGGGTTATGGGTTAGTTCACACCAGAAACTGCAACACAACTGCGTGTGTCTGCGCAGTTGCATTGCAATCTGTTTTGACGCGTTTTCTTTTGCTTTAATAAAATGCTAATTAGACAATTAGGTCACTTCCTTTATTCTGTCGGAGCATTTCCTTCGTTTGCTTTGGAGCTCAGACATGCTTGCTTTGTTGGCAGGCATGGTGATAGTGTTGGCTGTACCTACAAAGAGAAAGTCCCTGGATGATGACACAATCAATTCTGTGTCTTTTTGGGGGGATTTGGGATGCGTTCCGGTGTGTTTTGATGTGCTCCGGTGCGATCAGATGCAGCTAAAATAGGACAAGCAGTATTATTTGACTGCATCTGAACGGACTGCAAAGGTGTGAATACAGCACAAGAAAGCCCATAGGAAAGCATTGTGATGTATTTTGGCTGAAGCAGCCAAACTGAACAGACTGCATCACAATTGCATATGGTGTGAAATAACCCTAAGAGTGGTTAATTGTAAACTGAAGCTTTTGTTCAAACATCTAATGTACTCACGGCATTAGGCTGAGCTTGGCCCCAGCTTTAACACCTTCTCTTTTCTGAACATAGTTGGCTGGTATGAATCCACCTCGTCCCAGTTTATTTTTTGCTTTGTACCAGTTTGGATCCTGTAAAAATTAAAGACATTCTTAAACATGTTAAGATTATCAAGCACAACTGTGCTAAAGACATTTTGCAATTGGTCATTTTGCTTTATTACTGTTTGAAGTCCAAAACAAAAAAAAACCTCTGTATCACAGAGATTATTAAAAGAACTAGTAACACAATACAAGAAAGTGCAACACAATACAAGAAAGTGCAACACAATACAAGAAAGTGCAACACAATACAAGAAAGTGCAACACAATACAAGAAAGTGCAACACAATACAAGAAAGTGCAACACTCTTTCTCAGTTACATTGCACAAGCCACAGTCATAACTGCTCATAAGTACAATGTCAAACACTAAAACTAGTTCTTGTCTTAGTGATTAACTTTATAATCAAAAAGCACATATTTTAGTTTCCAAAACACCTGCCAATTTCTACGCTCACGAAGTAAGAGACGTTTGACCGATATGAAAGTCCCGAATTAAATGGCAATTGAGAGATTAAAATAAGCCTTTCAAAAGTTCCTTACACCTTCATAATTTGAACAAATCAGGGCCCACCTTCCCTAACCATCTCCTTTACAGGGTACCATTTTTTTCCCAAACTACATGTACACATTAGATACACATGAGAAAAAAAAAATCTAGGAGTCTACTAGATATTGTATCACATATATCATGAATGTTTACATTTTTTTGGTAAGGTAATGTAAAAAAGTAAGTACACACCATGGATATTGCCTGTTCAGAAATGTTGAAAAAGTAAACAAAAACAGTAGAACTGTATTCAAACAGTGTCTATAATAAGGTGACAAACTTGAGTAAAAAAAAAAAAAGAACAATTTGCCTTTTCAATCATTTTGCAACAAAAATATAAAAAGAAGTCATGATTTAGCCCATATATAATAAAGTACAGTGCCCTTTTGTTCACCTTGGTCACAGCAACAATGGTCAAGAATTCTCCTTTAGTAAATGGAAGATCTTGGTCTGTTTTCCCATCAAAGTCGTAGTTAGCAACACATTCTGTACCAGCCTGCCATGGTGTCTGTTATGCACAAAGAGTACAACAGAAAAAACATTATAAACACTATGGAACAAGTACCTAGAGATACACAAATAGCATGTCTGCTAGAAATCTCAATCATGTGTGAGCAAGAGACAGGGAGGAGAGGACACCTTTTAGATATAAAGCCCCTGCCAGCCTTATTTTGGCTGTGTTCCCTTCACTTCCTGTCCTTTAGAGAGATTTTCACTCATTTAATTTGTGTCTAAAGTGATAGGAAACATCAGCTTTGTTGACGCTGGAAAAAATGTCCCCAATGAAAGATTTCCCCTCGCTTCCTGTTATGGTGACAAAGGTAAAATTGTGGATTTCCCAACACTTTCTGTACCAGAGACAAAAGGTCACATACAGGGCCTACAAATTTAGTAGCACCATCTTTTTATTCTACCGGGCCTGCGCTTTCAGAAAATGTATGGTTTGGGAGGTCTTTTACAAACGCTAGCAACGCAGCAGTTGAAAAGCGACCATGAGCTTATAGCAGAACTGTAAATGCCAGGTCCGTACGGCATACGTCCTTGGCCAGCCGGGAACACTTTCGTTCCTCCGTATGCCATACGTCCTTGGCAGGGGAAGGGTTAAGCCAGGTACGGTTATTGTCCCTGTAGTTGAGCTAAAAACCCATCTAGAAATAAAAAAATTGTCGTTTATGATCACGTGCCCCAAGAAAGACACTCTGGATTTAATATTGAAAGATCACTTCTAATATTTAAAGGAGAACTATGAGGTGAGTGCTTTTCACTCACCTCATAGTTCTAGCCGACCTGTGACAATGAGACTGTCACAGGTCGGCTCAGTAGATCGGGAGGTGAGCGAACATATACCGGCGTTCGCTCACCTCTCAATCCTGTCACAGCCCTCTGCCGTGACAGGGGAGGGGCTGGATTCCCCCCTCCTCGCTCCGCCAGCGCTGACTGGCGGATCGGACGGGGTGGGTACAGCTGGCTCTGCCTCTAGATAGGCAGAGCCAGCTGTCACTCACACAGCTGGGCGGATCCAGACATAATTGTCGGGATCCGTCTCAGCGTCTGTAGCTCGCGGTATACTGAGCTTAGGGTGACGGGAGGACGCTAGTTTGTGTCCTCCAGTTACTCGGAGAACTATGGGGAAAAGCATTAACCCCATAGTTCTCCTTTAACACATGATATCAACATCTCTACTGGGTGGTGAATACCAATACCTGCTTCAAAGTTTAGCGAAAACATTGGTTATTTTCAGTAACAGCCACAGGGTAACATGATTGACAGACTGCAATCTCAGTCAGCTTTTCCTCTAAATATCAACCCACCCTTCCTGCTTCCCTGCCGGTCACAGAGTCGGTCTATGACATGAGAGGGTCAATAAGCAGGTGCACACCTAGCTCAGCTATTTCTGCTGTAGTAGAAATTTGAATACAACCTCAGCTGTCTATACTGCTGGAAATACCAATGTGGTTTTTACTGCCAGCAACCTCTGCTTATGCATTTTTTTGTATCTCATGTTTAGTTTGAATAGTTTTCCATTGATTTGGCTTTTGTAACATAATTGTCTAATGCCTTGGTTCTCAACTGGTGGGTCCTCACCCAAAAGTGGGTTTGGACCCCGTGTTCAGTGGAAAACACAAAAATTCCCCAGCCTCAACCTGCCAGCCAGCCTGCAACCAAACAAATAGCCCTGTCAACAGTATGCGTTAAAATCAGAGGTTTTAGTTGCACAAACTTTTGGCCAAAAATATGTAGAAGCCACACTGGCCAAGGCACCTCTGCAAAGTGTGGCCAAGGCACCTCTGCAAAGTGTGGTCCTAACTCTATGTGTGGACCACACTTTGCAGAGGTGCCTTGCCGCGGCAGTGTGGCTTCTACATATTTTTGGCCAAAAGTTTGTGCAACTAAAACCTCTGATTTTAACGCATACTGTTGACAGGGCTATTTGTTTGGTTGCAGGCTGGCTGGCAGGTTGAGGCTGGGGAATGTTTGTGTTTTGTATTGTTGTAAGCCTTCCCAATGTGCGCCCTGCTATAAAGGCTGGTTATAGATTCATGCATGTACCATCTTTTCCCGTGTTCAGTGGGTCGCCTCGTGCCTTCCACTTTTCTAGGTGTGAGGCTCCTCTGCCTCTCTCTAGTGCAGCACTGTCAGTTCTCACGCCAAGCAGCCAATCGAAATATGCTGCCGGACGCCAGGTATCAGCATGGGGTGGGGTCGGGGTATGCCGTGAGGGAGTTCTGGTCTAATGCACGGGCACCTTACATTGGCTGAAAAGAATGCCAGAGCATACATTTCACTGAACAGACAACTTCACTGGAAGCAAGAGAAACCTTCAGCTGCGCCAATGATAGACTTCTCTAAAGGGAGCCCATAGTGTGTTTTCAAGGACTACATATTTTAAGTCAAATTCTAATACTGTAGAATTTATCTTGAAACTACTTTTAATATTTTACTTTGCTGCATTTACATATTTCGAGTACTGTATTTATTATACAGATGTGTGGTCATTAGTAGAACATGTCATTATTAAACCTGTCTAAAGGGAATGTACAATATTTTTAGGAGAGCAGCTCATAGTAAATAATATTTTAGTATGTTAATGTATTACAAACATTAATCTGCAATTAAATATGTAAGCAGAGGACAGCCAAAATTTGCTCACAGGCTCTAGTTCCTGTTCTACTCTTCACTTCTACACAGGGGTTGTGCTTTACTTCGCCTCCTCACAATGCAAGCCAATACGGTCATTTCTTAAAATGTTTTATGTTTTGGATATCAAGGTGGTTACAATACCGCACTGCAACTGCTTGGTAGCCCCATTTGGCAAGCAGCACCGCCTGCCAAATGGGTCATGCTGCATAAAATGTACTGTGATGCAAAGCATTATGTCTGCAGCATGTGTACAACCTTGAGTGGTTGCTATTTTAACCAGTTGACATCCGCGGTGTTAAACCCCCTTCCCATCCAGGCCATTTTTCAGTATTCAGCGCTGCGGTACTTTAACTGACATTTATTCTGTCATGCAGCGCTGTACTGAAATGAATTTTATACCCTTTTTTGGGGACAGATAGAGCTTTCACAGGCAGGGGGTGGTAAAGATGTAGCACCCGCTGGTCTTCACCAACCCATTTGCTGCTCGTGTCAACTAGGCCTTAAGGACGTCTGAATGATAGCTTATCTATAAATGTCTATAATTTATAGAATTAAAAAAATTGACAAACAGGCATGTAAAAATGGCACATCAAAGCGTCTCTGTGCCTGCATTTGATATTGGTTTGAGACACTTCCAAAGTTGTTCACAGTTCAACGGCATGCGTGTTTTATCTGCAGTTGACCTCCTTCTCGCATCAAACTGCTTTTGAAATCTCATTGACTTGCATGCAGAGAATAACCTGTGACAGACCTTTAAAAAAAAAAATGACTGCAAAAATCATTTAAAATATGCAAATAATTTATACATGCAATACATTTTCCTTTAACAGATAAGGCAAGTTAAGGCAAGCCATATAAAAAATAAATTAAAAAAAAGAGTCCACTATCTTCAAGCTGGCCATACACTGTTCTATAAATTCTTTCCACTTCACGGGCTAAACGGGAAAAAAAATAGACCAGATTCCTCCATCAACGCTTACGAGCGTTGATGGAGGAATCCCCTGCTGTTTTCTTTTGTATTCTGACAGCGGCCGCTGGCTGCTATCAGAATACTCGAAGGAGCCTGCAGCTGATTCTTCTTATAAAAGGGATGTTGGCTGGAAGGACGTCGACAGGGGCAGCCGCTGTGCGAATTTGAGACGGTTCATGCAGAGCCAGCCAAAATTCGCAGAGTGTATGACCAACTTTAGGGAACTCAGCCATGTCCTCCTGGTTTACACCAAGAGAGAAGAAATAAAACAGTCACTGTACAATACTATCAAGCAGGAAGTAGAGCCTGCATTTGTAATGATGAAATACAGCTATCCGTATGTATTTACAAATGATACATAAAAACAAGCCTTTTAAACATTTCCACACATTGATAAGGATTTGCATTATTCGGTTAATATTCATGTATATCTAAAAAAGTAAAAAAAACACACTATAGTTTTCCTTTTAGGAGAACCCAAAAAATATATAAGGCAGGGAATAAATGAAGGTATGAATAAATCATACATGTCACATACAGGTCAGAGATTAAATTAGTAAAGGAAATACTTAGTCTATTAGGAAGACAACACAAACCTGCACCACCGACATGTTGGGAGCGAGGCTTGGAAAGGGGGTCTCAGAGAGATGTTAATTTGCCAAGTATCATCAGACCTATAAAAAAGAGAAACAAAAAACGCTGTAAAAATGTAGCAATATAACTAATGCAATCCACACAGCATTTGAAGAGAGAACATAAACACTTCTTACTAAATATGAAAAGGTCAAAGTACGACATTTACAGAAATACATTTATGCTCACATAAAAAGGACTAGAAATCAATAACACTGGCACATCGCTGAAATATCGGCTACTTGGTAACTCAGGATTTCTGCTCCTGTCAAGCTGTTTACATCTATATCCCTAACCACTGCCTGACAAAGTTCATGTTGATTTTGATCACAGTTTCAAACAATCCACATTAGTTCACAAATCCACAAATACTATTTGAACACTTTTTCCTTTCTTGCATGTCAGGCTGCTGATCTTCATCAGGATATTTTTTTTATCACTTCCTGTCTACATGCGCTCACTCCAGCAAAACTGTATGGCATTGCTCTAGATTGGCTTCCGCACAGACATTGCCATGGCCCTTTACATGCTCCACAAAGAGTTCTTATGATAGTGTCACAACGCAGAAGAGAAATTAGACAAAGCCAAGTCCCCCAATAACAGGAAGCACTATAATGGCAGGTTCACAAGGTATTTGTTTCAAATGAAAGATGCAGAGTTATGAAAGACTTTTGAAAATATATTAATGCCTGAGATTTTGATAGATGTATATAGGTTTTTTTTTCTCTACAGGTGAGCTGCAGGCCAAAACCTCCACAAGGTTTTTATTGCCTTTTGTCCATGTTAAAGTAATTGATTGAAGTGAAATCTGTCTATTTATTCAATAGCAAACTATTATTAGAGCAGGGTAGCGGTCAAATATTCATCTTGACCGACCAAAGCTGTGGAGGAGGCCATACCTGTCAGCAGAGGGCTTATATGTGTGAGGCTTCTCTCATAAAATAACCCACCTGGTAATGAAAGTGGGCTGAAAACAAAAACCTGTTGGAAGTCACATCATTTGCAGCACAACGTCGTCAATATAATGCTAATTATTATACAGGATTTCTATAGCGCCAACAGTTTGCACAGCGCTTTACGATATAAGGAAGAAATTACAATCACAATACAATTCAAGACAAGATGGTAAGGAGGGCCCGGCCCATGAGGGCTTACAATCTAAAGGGACAATGCTAATGAAATAACCATTGACAAGCAGTTAAATCTATTTATTCACCGGTGCAGTTCAAGCATTAATGACCAAGGACAAGTTTGTACATCAGGAAGGTCAAAGAAAAGTCAAAACTTTTAACCTTCATGCTTGTTCCAGATCAGTGACTGAATCCGCTAGGTCATCATGACAGCCAGAGAACTAGCATTGGCAGGCTGTATGTTTTCTATGCAAGTTATAGGAGCAAAAGAAGACAAACTTACAGTGGATGTGAAAACGATTATTCCATACTTTCAGGAGGTTTAAACTTTGAAAAACACTTTGCTTTACATTATAATACCTTTCAGTAAAAAGATGCATTTTAAATGTAATCGTTACATGGTGAACAGGAAAGTAAATGTAGTCGAGGAGACCTCATACGTTGAGGTGAAAGGGTTGCTCATAAGTGCTATCAGCAAAGATTTCTTTTTTTTTTTTTAGAATAGTTAGCTAAAAATTACCAGCCACAGCACAGGAAGTGGGTTTGTGATGCATAGTGGAAAGTTTGCAACACCCACAATTACAAAGATGGCTGTTTGATTCTGTCCTATTGTTGGCAGTACTGTATGTAGTGATATAATTCAGCACAATGGTAGAGAACATAGACAAGATCAGCTTGTTCTGGGTACATAGATTGTGTAAAAGAACACACACAGTCCCACAGCAGGTTCACAAAGTATTCACTATATATCATTTGTCTGGCAATAAACAGACAGGCTGTGCTGATTATCCCCGTAAAGAAGATTTGTGATCTGTACAGGAATCACAGGATATCATACTCTGAAAAAGAATCTAATGGAGAAAGCGATGAAAAAACATTTAATCCCCTTTATTCCACACTAAAGTTAATTTTGTTTTTTTAAGATCATATATTAGCATAAGGTACTCTCTTACAAGTCAGTTGAAACTGGATTGGCAGAGGAAGCCATTAATGGTAGCAGTTCAGGACAAAATCTAACATCAAATCCCCTCACCCTCCAGTTTTTTTGTTTGTTTTTTTGCTTCATGTATTAGTCTTATCTGCCAAAATAATTATCATTCTACTTGGTGGGTCTTTTGATCCAGATCCCCCTAAAAAACAACACAGTAAGGTCCTGGGTGTTTATCCAAGCGATCAGTGACAGGGTGAATTTTATCCTTGAGTTGGGCTTTAAGCAGTACACCTTGGTTCACAACAAGCTTCCCTTTCCATTCCCAAGCTTCCTGCTCACATTTCCTGCAAGCAAGTTCACAGTGTTAAACTGCAATATGCATTGTGGGAGAGCCTGATTGGCTTTTACTCCTCCCTCTCCCAGTACTAATAAAACAGGTGAGTAGAGGAAGTAAATATCCATATAAATTCTGATTACAGTTCAAAGAAGCCACAAATCTAATGGAAGATTAGATAATTTGGTGGCTACATTGTACTTTATATGTTTAAACAAATCTCACCTTGTATTTTTTTTTTATAGCTCAGTCCCTTAACTCTGACAGTGTATGTTACTTTTTATCCCGTGCTTCTGTATGCAGTAGAAGCTGAGATATAGACTTTGACAACTCATGCCTCTTCATTTTAAACCACGCTCTGCAAAGGAGACTGCCTTTTGATTGACAGCTCTTATCTCACTGTCTATGTATTTTTCAGACACAAGCGAGTTCACAGAAAGAGGGCACACACTCACGGGAATCAGCACAGGCACTGGAACTGGAATGGGAGCCTTGTTTCTGCAAAGTGCAGAGACAGTGACATAAGAGCTGCCAAAGTCTGTAGCTCAGTATCTCCATCACACAGAAGCATGGGATAAAAAGCAACATACACTGTGGAAGTTAGGTGACTGAGCTGTGAAAAATAGTAGATGAGACATCTTCAAACAAAAAATGATCTTCCTATGACAAGTAATCTGATACAGCAGTCATTTGTTTGGAAATAGAAGGAAGTGTCTACGCTGCGATGGATGACACCTAAACTACTTCTTTCCTGCAGTCCTACCATGTTCATTCATTCAGTCTGAAAGAGGCTTAAAACGTACTAATTCCATTTCATTTCACTGTCTTTAGAAACCAGTAATGGCAAACCAGGAATAAAAGGCATAAAGCAGCTGTATACAATGCAATCTTTTCCGCCAGAGATTACTGCTGCCTTTCAGTGTACATCCACATGAAATGGCTTGGAAAATACATGCACCATCAACGACCTCTGACCAGCAAAAGCACTTGAACAGAATGGAAATATAGGGTACTGCCATAAAGGCTTTGTCCATTAGCATTTTAAAAAGGTGTCCATGTGTCCACCTACACAGAAACAGCAAAAAAAATAGTGCTTAAAAGTTTGTGACTAATCTTTTTGTTTGGGGAAAATAGTGTGACATCTTCTTGGCTCTCTAACCCAACCATCCTAATGCATTACATGCTTGTTGTATTCTGCAGTACCTTTGCCCTTTTTTGTCTACTGAATATGCTTGGGATGCCAAATAGTAGTTTTTAGGCTCAGCTGGGAAAGTTGTTGTTATTTTATTATATTGCTATGTTTCATAGTAAATGAGTGGTGTGTGATGCATGTTAAGGGGTTAAAGCAAAACCTGATGAAGCAATGAGGGCATTTTTAATTGCACTAAGCTAATGCCTATATATATCCAATCAGGTGACCGCGCTGACCAACGAGTGCTTGCAATTTGTGAGCGAAATTCAAAAATCGATAGCACAGGGCTGTGCTGGACGGGAGCACGGGGTACAGATAGTACACCTGTACAGGCAGAGGGGAAGGATCATTCGACTGCCCAGCTACCACAATATGGCACACAGTGGAATGGGGGTAGAACTGTATGCAACTAAACGCACAAACAATGTCCTGTATTCAGATGGCAGGGGCGGCGGGGTTGGTTTTCATTTTTTTACTTCATTACTTTCCTTTTTTTTCCCCACTTAACTTTATTGCTATCACACAGGGGATTACAAGCCCCGGTGTGATATTGTTTGGAGGCGACAGGTTCTCTTTATGAAGCCTGCTCTCCAATACACAAGATCGAACACAGCATTGTGCTCTACCTGCTGTGCAGCCCGGCTTGTGACAGCCGAGGCAGGAAGCATTGCGAGTACAGCGCTCCAGTCTCACTGATCACACAGAGCAGATCAGAAAACGGACGTTCTCCGGTCTGCTCCCAGCTCTCCATCCTGAAGTCATCTGCTGTATACAAGTAATCTGGATGGCTATACAACCGCCCAGATCACTTGCACAAAACGAGCGGCGGCTCCCCTACTCTTGCCCGCAGCAGGGCTAAATGTAGAAAGAAAAAACACCTGCCCGGAGTCTGAAACTGCAAGTCCTGGCATCGGGCAATAGGAATTTGCACACCCCTGAAGGAACCACTGCCATCACCATCATCCCATTTACCAATTGCAGATGATAGTATAGGGCTTTTAGGTGTCCCTAAAACTTTCCTTGGCTCTTAAATAGGTACCTTCAGACCCTTGTGATCTACTATGGTGTGTTGCATAAAAGCTGACCCATGACAAAAGTCCCTGCATTTGTTTCCCCCTTCTTTAAAACGCAAGCCTATGGTAAAGCAAAGCACCTGTCAATTAATTTTTATGAACTCCAGACCACACAAAATGAGACATGCAATATTTGTCTGGTCTGGAACGGACTGCGCTGGTGTGAACAGAGGCCAGAAATAGCATAGGGATACATCAGGATACATTTTGGGTCCGGAAACAATCTGGTCTGGTGATGATCAGGACACGGTGTGAATGGGCCCTTCATGGTTATATTCCTGCACATGCTTTTATGTATGAGCCCGTACAAAATCCAAACATGGCTTTATCCAGTTTCATCACACTGCCATCCCATAGCTGCATGAGACACTTACTTAAATT